TCTAGGTCCATTTTTCTTTTGGAACTCTGTTAGGCAACTTCTGTCACCTGTCATGTGCATGGAGCATCCACTATCAATAAACCATTCTTGTTCAGAGATAGCTCCAACACACAGTTCCTGCAGAATTAAAAGAAAGATTTAGGTACCCAAGCAATGCTAGGTCCTAGGAGGTCATGGAGTCTTGGTAATGTGTATTTCTTGCCACCAACACTTGGAGTCTCAACTGGTCCAAATAAATCCATGTGGATGAGATTTAAAGTACTAGTGGAGAGATCTCCAGCAATGGGTTTGAATGTGTTCTTCACTTGTTTTCCTTTCTGGCATGAACTGCAGAGGTTTTTTTTCTTGTACACTATGTATGGCAGTCCATCTACAATGTGTTCTCTTGCCAGTTTGTTGATTGTCTTGAAATTCAAATGACTAAGCTTCTTGTGCCAATCCCAACTTAATTTTGAATCTCCCTTGGCTGTCAGGCATACTCCATCTTTAGCAGTTTTCCAATCAACCACATAGATATTCTTTTTCCTTCTTGCCGTAAGAACCACTTCCTTTGTTGTCTCATGCTTTACATAACAAAAGTCCTTTGTGAATTCAAATGTGTAGCCTTTGTCACAGAATTGGCAAGCTTTTAGGAGGTTGAACTTCAGGCCTTTGACATATGAGACATCATCAATGATTATCTGGTTCTTGATCAGCTTGCCTTTACCCTTTGTCTGACCTTCTTTGTCATTTCCACCAAAGGTAACTCTAGGTCCATTTTGCTTTTGGAACTCTGTTAGGCAACTTCTGTCACCTGTCATGTGCCTGGAGCATCCACTATCAATAAACCATTCTTGTTCAGAGATAGCTCCAACACACAGTTCCTGCAGAATTAAAAGAAAGATTTAGGTACCCAAGCAATGATGGGTCCTAGGAGGTCATGGAGTCTTGGTAGTTGGTACCACTTTGGTCTCATCAAGTGAAACCTTGGTGGGTGGTACCCGTTGTCCACCTGGTAGTCATAGTAAACTGAAATGTGATTCACTTTGGGCAGATGCTTGTGAGGGTCATGCTTCCTGTTTACATATTTTTGCATAGTTGTCTTGGTAGGAAAGAAGTCCCATATACTATCACGAGCAGAGGGGCGGTTAGCTTTGGGCTTCTGAAGTTGACCTGTCAACCTCTTCTGCCTAAAGTTAACTTTCTCTTGATACCAGCCCTTCTGGTGATCATTTCTAGCACGGTCATCATGAGGTTGTCTGTTATGGGGTTGTCTTTGATTTTTCTGAAAACCTTTTCTGTTGTTAGGTTTTCTGCCAGGTTCATTAATTTTTAAAATGGGTTTCTGTTGAACCTTTATCTTCCTATTTTCTGGTCTGACTTCCTCATGAATAACCTTGGTGCCAGATACACCAACAAGGCAGATGGGGCTAGAGATCCGTGGCTCTATGACCTTATCAACCTTAGCAACTCTGGTGCTAGGCCTTACAGAAGGCTCACCGAATTCTGTTGCAACATATCCAAGACCAGAGACATGGGAAAACATTTGATCAACATCAACAACCTTTAGAGAAGTTTGCATTTTCAGAAGACTATTGTATCTGATCTCAAATTGCTTAATTTCTCTTATTCTATCAAGAAGAGAAACATATTCAGCTTCTAGTTCATCATTTTTCTTAATCAAGAGATTGATTTTTACCTCAGTCGCTTTTCTTAAGTCAGAAATTTCAACATTTAGCTTACTGTTTTCTTCTTTGACTAAAGAATAAGTGGTTTGGATAGTTCTAAACTCTTCCCACAATGATGACATTGCATCATCATTTAAAGTTGTGCCTACCGAAGAGAAACGGGAGTTAGAAGAGGAGGTTACCTCATCATCAGATTGGGCCATGAGGCATAGGTCTTCTGTTTCAATATCCAGGCAACGGAAGGCCTCAATAGAATCAGAGTCAGAACTGGATTCTGTCTCAGAGAGAGGGTCTTTCTCGTATTGTTCTGTGACGAGTGCCTTCCTTCTTCTAGAATTATCTTATACTTCTTCTCTCCATCTTGTCCTTGTCTTTTGGACACTCTGGGGTGTGGACAATTTGCCTTGAAATGTCCAGGCTGCTTGCAGTTGTAGCAGAGAAGCTCTCCACTACTATCTGAAGACTTGGTCTTCTGGAATGATTTTATGCTGGCAGATGGACTCCTTCCATCTTTTGGTTTCTTCATGTACTTTTTGAATCTCCTGGCAAAAGAAGCCATATATTCGTCAGATAATAATATTGAAGGGTCAAAATCAATTACCTTAGATGTACTGGCTGTGAGAGCTGTGGTGGTCCTCTCCTCTAGTACATCTTTCTTTTCTTCAATCATCTCGAACTCATGAGCTTTGAGATCTGAGATGAGCTTGTATGTAGGATATGTCTTCACATCCTTGCTTGCTTGAACCGCAACCACTTTCATCTTCCATGCTGAGGGTAGACCTCTCAACACTTTGAGGTTGATCTCCTTGGTGGTGAGTTCCTTGCCAAGTTTAGAAATTTCTCAAGTGAAGCATGTCATACATCTTGGAGATGCTTTCACCAGGGAGAAGTTTGGAGTCATCAAACTTCTTGTTGGCTATTGTCAGCTTGTTGTCCTTTTCTTGCTCATCACCTGTTTCAATGAGATGAAGAGTATCCCAGATTTCTTTTGCGGTTTTGCACTTCTTGATTCTGTTGAAGTATCTATCATCTATGGACTTGTAGAGGATGTCCTTAGCAATGTTGTCCAGATTGTATTTTCTTCTCTCTTCAGTGGTCCACTCAGATTTGGCTTTGTTGATCATCTGTGGCCTTGTGTTATCGATGGCATGCTCAGAATTCACCTTCTGGAAGTTGGTGAATGACCCTATGTCAAGTACTTCCCACATTTCATCAAGAAGAGCACAGAGATGTGCCTTCATCCGGATCCTCCAATCATCAAACTTAAGATCTGAAAACATAAGGTTCTTGGAAAGAGAGTGATCCATTATAAAAGATTAATACATAGGCTAAATAGAAACAAATGGATCCTTGTTCAGCAAGTAACCTAAGAGATTACAAAAACAAGGAGACTCTGATACCACTTGTTGGTCCCGGTTATACTGGGTACAGTCTAGAGGGGAGGGGGGGGGGGGGGGGGGGGCAGGGGGCGGGGGGCGGAAAAGGCTGTACTGCTTTTAACTTTTTCAAGCTAAGTACCAGATTTAATAAAATAGCCTGTTCTGATGACATAACAGACTGGTAGCGGATGGTATTCTGGTAGGGGTTCTGTCCGGTTAGCCTCACAGAGGTGCAAAGGCAGTAGGCCTTCTGTTAACTCACAAGACACGTTTTGCTGAACACAGAGACCTAGTCTTTGGATTTAATCAGTTTAAAGTAAATGCGAGAATCAAAAGAAGTAAGTAAATGACACCAAGGATTTTAATAGTGGTTCAAGGAACAACTCGTTCCTCTAATCCACTGTTCCACTAAGTTTGTAAAAACTCAGATTACAAAGCCTTAGCCCTAGCACTTAAGAAGCTCTCCACGTCTTCTTCAAGTCTAGATGCCTCCTGGGATGCACTTCCTGGCTTCCTTTAAGACTGGTCCTTTCACTGAGCTTCCTTGAGGTATACCCACTTCACTACTCCAGTTACTTGGTCGTCCTTCTAGTTAAAGAAGATTTCTTGTAAACAGGGGTTCTCCAACTTGCTTCGTCACAAAGGATGTGTAGATGAAGTGCTTGAAGTGTTGAAGAACAAGGAACGTTGCTCTTTGTTGGAATATGAAGATAGGAAAATATTATCTTTCCAACTGAAGCTTTTCTTGTTTGAGATGATGAAGCTTGAAGTCTAAAGAAAGCTTGTGAGTTTGAATGTTTGTTGTTGGAGCGAAAGTTGAGCAACAGTTCTAGCTAAGTTCTCTAGTTGTTCTTCGAGTAGTATCTCTTATATACCGGGGTTGTCTTCCTGTTGGAGGAGGACAACTGCATTAAATGCGCGTACAGTTGACTTGACCAGTAGGATCCGGTAAAGTTGGTGAGTTGCTATTTTAGGATAAAGTTATCCTGGAATGTCGGCTAATCATCAGCTTGTACTTTTCAGCGTATGGGGCTCATTAAATGAGCATTTAATGCGCGTACTCTAGCTTTTCCGTTTAAGTCTTCTAGCCGTTGAAGGAATCTTCCGTTGAATTCACCGGCTTAGGTAGATTTCAGGAAATTCTCAAAGTGTCAGGCCTTCTGGTATATTTGAACAGAGAGTCAATCAGAGAGGGCCTCGAGCACTTTTGTTGAAAATAAGCTACCAGAGGATCACGAGCACTTCTGTTGAAGTAGAGGCTAACAGAAGGACTTGAGTACCTCTGGTCTGATGAAGTCCAACAGAGAACCAGGAGGTCTTCTGTCCACAAAGTGAAGCAACAAAGAGCTAAAGGTCTTCTGTCTGGACAAAGTCTAACAGGAACCCAGAAGGTCTTCTGTCAGTCGACTATTCTAAGAATGCTTTACAAGGAAAATTCTAATACAATTTTCTAAAGAGGGGTACTCTAAAATCCTAATTAATATAGCATCATCAAAATCTAATTACAATTATTCCTTACAAATACATGTCCAACTTTCATTAGTACACATTAATATACACACTTCATACACCCAAATTAATCATTTCATAGACATCACAACATATTAAGCAAATCCTATATGATATATATACACTTAAAAATGGAAAAATATAACATTTAAAAAAATAATACATTCTAATTTTTGAGTTTTTTAGCATTAATACAGAACAAAAACACATCTAAATCTACATTATATAACAAAGTTCTAAAAAAAAAATTATATAACAATGAATTCAACATCAACATTCAACACTTCATACAAATTCACATTACACTTCCTAATTTACAAAATCCAATTTTCTATATTCTAAACCCTAAACTGAAAAATGAGATAAATTGGAGATATTTGTTTACCTAGAGTGTTGAAAAAAAAGATGGAAGTGAAGTAGTATTGACAAGATAGGGAGGTCTCACCGGAGTTTCACCGGAGTTGGAACCTCTTTTCGCTGCTCGTCACTCGTTCTCGCTCGTCCTTGCTGCGCTGCAGATTGTTTGGGAAGGGGGGTTTTCGTTCTTACGGCGTAGCTTGATCTGGCATTTTAATTTTAGGGTAAGTCACCAAACCATTTGGCGACTTATAAGTCGCCATCCGGTTGGGCGATTTATAAGTCGCCATCCGGTTGGGCGACTTATAAGTCGCCAAACAGTTTGGCGACTTACCCCGACCAGGGTTAAGCCCATCAATATATCCGTAAATACTTTTAACCCAACCCTCTTTTCGTAATTATTTAATTAATTAGCATTAATACGGAAAAAACTCAGTAATAGTTTATGTTAATTAGGAATCCTTTTCTGCTATAAATATACCTGTCAGGGCTCCTATTGGAGCATCCTTTCCCATTATTTCACATGGTATCACGAGCCTGGCCTATTTTTTTTCTCTCTAAAAATTTTCGCCACACACCCGGTTCTCCATGGATTTATCTGTTAGAATAAATTTTATTGTGTTCAATTTAATTAGATTTATCTTTGTTTAATTAGGATTTAATTAGTGGGCCTATGTAATTAATTAGGGGCCATTTAATGAGATTAATCAGACCCATCCTACTTTCACTAGGATGATCGGCCATCCCTCTATAAATACAAGGGGAATGGACCGAACAGCCTAAGAGTTCCCTGTTCTGAAATTGCCTCACGCATTCTGGAACTCCCACGTTAGAAAGAGAAAGTCTCTACACATTCTATTCCACATAGTATTCTGGTAGAGCACGTAGATTAGAAATTCCCTCTCTAGCTTGTTCGAGTACTGTGTATTGTTCTTCATGGATTCATCATTTTTAATACACGGTATAAGTTGATGTTGAATTTCTCTTCTACTGTTTAAATTCTTTCTATTATTCTTAGATTATTCGAATGTTGTATCTAGGCTACGTTCACACAATTGGTATCAGAGCCTCGGCGCAATTTTGTTCTTGCGATTCCTTGATTTTTTCTCGAATTAATTTGATCAAAATCACAATTTTTGGTTAAATTAATTTCTAGATATGTTCTTGGAAACTTACTGTTTTGGAAGGCTGCTGCTACAAGGAAAGATACGGAAGAAGAATCCTAGTTGAACAGGTTGCTATTTTTGCACACACCCGAAATCCTTCAGGTGAACATTGGTTATTATTCGTGCACCCGAAATCCTTAATTTGGAAGTAGCATCCGACAGACCTGGAAAGCATATCTGAAATCTTCACTGAAAAGAACATTTGAAATCAATTTCGGAAGTAGGCACCCGAAATCTTCACCATCAATTTCGGAAGCACCGAAATCTTACTTTGCCAGAACAGTTCTCGCCTTACGATCTTCCAACAGTCAATTACCAAAAAAAGAGGGACAAAATTGTCCTTTGAGGCCAGCTAAATTTTTCGGCATTCCTGTCCGCAGGTCGCCCGCGCAGGGTGGTACGAATTTTCAACTTTTGAACTAGAAGCCGAAATCCCATGTGCACGAGAGCTCCTCTTTCTCATTCTCACTTTGATAATAAGGAAGGAGTGTTCCATATATATAGGCTCAAAAGTTTCCAAGGAGTTTAGGTGTGGGATAAATCATCAAGCTTACTTTTTCTTACACTTGGAGAAGTACATTTTTTTAAAACTCCCACTTCAAGAGCTAATTTTGAGCCCATTTCGATTTTTGAGCTCAAATCTTCAACACCAAAGTTCAAAACTACAGTCAAAGCTTCCAAAAGTCAACCTTGAGATTTTAAAAAAATTATTAATTAAATCTCAAAGTTAAAGACTATTTTTTCCTCACAAAGCTCAAAGCTGGTCAAAGCTATTCTCTGAAGGATCCCTCTCCGACAAACATCAATGAGTTCTCACTCCAATTCATCAATGCTCTCAAGCAACGGATCAGTGGTAGTATCTGACAAGTTCCAGGTAAGTACTTCTTATTCCAATAAAATTAAGGAACTTGAAGACAGACATGCTAATAATAAAAAAGATCTGGAGGAACTAATGTATAAAGGAGCAGTTTAAACTATGCAATTGAAAGACTCACGTGATAAGGTCACAAGTTTAGAATATGAAGTTAGTAAACTTAAACAAAGTGTCTGTGACTTAACTAAGGAACTAGATGCAAACAAACGACAACGTTCTGAAGCTGTTACTCATTCTAAAATAATTAACAAGGAACGTGGTCGCCTTTACTCTAAAATTTAGGAGTTAGAGGATATTCTTGTCAAGAGAGGCCAATCAGAACAAATTGTTTTTCTTCTAAACAACAAACCAAAGGACACTGAGTTTTACAACCCTAGAGAAGGACTAGGCTTTCAAAACCCTGAGAACTTGAAGAAGGTTGATTGTGCCCAATTATATGAAATTAGGTACATGAAGTTAAGGTTAACTAAACTGATGAAATTTACTGGTGCTTCTGAGACTAGTGAGGAAGAAGAGGACAAAAGGAAAAATAGAGCAAAAGCTGAAATTAAATTCGATTATACTGCTCTTAATGACAGCTATGCTACTAGACAAATTCCTCTATCTGATGATTATATTGCCCTCTCTCCTCCTGAAAATCAAACTGTGTCTAATGAGGAAGAAGCCTCATCTTCAAAGGCTTCTGAACCATATTTTCCTGCAATAATCAAGAAAATGGCTGATCTCCATTCTTCTTTTGAAGAAGAATGAGAAAAGTTAAAATCTGAAAAGGAAAATCTTTTGAAGAAAATCTCTGAATTATCTGATCAATCTTCTTAAGGCTCGAAGACTCCTGATAATTCCCTTTTCAAAAATAACACAAAGAAAAATTATTTTTCAAGAAAAAAGGGACTCTTCCTCCTCTCATGTTCCTAAAAGCAATTTTTCAAAACCTCCTTCTCAACAGGCTTCTAAAGAACACGGCTCATCCTCTCACTCTCATTTTCAAAAACTGAAAGGTGATGTTCTCAATAAACGCTAAGATAAGAGGATGGCCTAGATTTTCAAACAAACTCAAAAGGAGGCTGCAAGACTCAACATGTTCTCTGAAAAATCAAAATCTTCTTTTTCCAAGTCTTGTAGTAATTTCAAGGATACTCATTCTAGTTCTGAAAGTCAGACACTTATTTCTTTCACAGACAAGTCTTGTAAGTCTTCTACTGATGGTTCTACTCATGTGAATACTCATTCTAGTGCTTCTGTTAATGCAACCACGCAGTCTGATACTTCAAGTCATCATTGTGATGTGAGTGATGGGACATCTAAAGATAAAAGATTTAGAGCTTCTACCTATGATGTTTGTGATGATGTTCAACTGAAATATCCTCTCAAGGTTTATTCAGTCAAACATTTGAATGAAACGTCTATCAAAGGAGAAAATCATTACTTCTCAAAATAATATCCCATCACTCACCTGCGCTGAAACTGTTATTGTTCAAAAATGGATTCCTAAATCAGAATTACAGTCATATAGCTCTTCAAAAGCTTCAAACGAGACTGGTTTAGGAACAAAAACAAAACAAAAATTTCATAATTTGTGTCATGCGAGAAAGGACATACCCATCCTTAAATGGGTACCAAAGGTTTCTTAATTCTTTTGCAGATGTCAGTCATGTGTGGTACTTAGATTCAGGTTGCTCCACACACATGACTGGGAAGTAAGAGCTGTTGAGCAACTATGTCGACAAATTTGGTGGGAAAGTAAGATTTGGAAATAGTGACTCTGCTCCTATCCGTGGATTCAGAGATATCTGCAATATCAGGGTTACAATCAAAGACGTGTCTTATGTTACTGGATTGGCACACAACTTGTTTAGCATCGTACAATTCTGGGACAAGGGCATGAAAGTCATATTTTGAGCTAACAAGTGTTGTGTGAAGGATGATCAAGGAAACATCATTCTGAGGTGTAGACGCAAATCCAGCCTCTACACCATTGTGTTGAAAACTGTGTTTCCCAATACCGATGCCTGCCTGCTGTCAAGAGCGTCCTCTGAACTAAATCAACTGTGGCATAAGAGGATGTCTCATCTAAAGTACCGTGATCTGCATACATTATCATCAAAGAAGCTTGTTACTGGTCTGCCAGCACTTCAAAGCAAATGTGATCATCTGTGCGATTCTTGCGTACTTGGGAAAATGAAAAGAGCTTCTCACAAGACGAAAGTGACTACATCTACTACACGCCCTCTTGAACTACTTCACATGGATCCTTGTGAGCCCATGCGTACACAGAGTATCAATGGGAAGAAATATGTCCTGGTGATAGTAGATGACTACTCAAGATATACATGGATCCAGTTCTTGCGCACCAAAGACGAGACAACAGATATCAACATCACCTTCATATGGACTACTCATAATCTACTCCAGGCGACCATCCTCTTCATACGATCTGACAACGGCACTGAGTTCAAGAACCAGAAACTCAGTGAATTCTATGAGACTCAAGGCATCATTCAGCAATTCTCTGCAACAAAGACCCCACAGCAAAATGGGGTGGATGAAAGAAAGAACAGACTCATGTTGAAGCTGCAAGAACCATGTTGATCCATTCCAAACTTCCACATTTTCTCTGGGCTGAAGCTATAAACACTGCTTGCTTCACTCAGAACAAAACCTCAATTCACAAAAGGTTTGGAAAGACATCGTATGAGCTGATTAACCGCCGAACTCCCGGTGTTTCTTTTCTAAGGGTTTTTGGATGCAAATGTTTCGTGGCTAATGATAGGGAAGAACGAAGCAAATTTGATCCAAAAGCTATTGAAGGTGTGTTTATTGGCTACTCCTCTTCAACTAAAGCTTACCGAGTGTACATCAGAGGCTGAAAGAAGGTCATTGAAAGCATCAATGTGTCCTTTGACGAGAAGGAAGAGTTGGCTTCTGTGTAAATCAGCTCAGAACCCGCACTACAACAGAGTTTCTGGATACATCAGTCCAGAACTCGATAGCATAGAACGACTTCTGAACACCTCAATTCAGAACCCACGCACAAACATAAGACTTATCATACCTCAAATACGTCAAGGGGGAGCGATGAAGAAAATCTTTATGAGCTTCCAAACAAGTTCAACAAAAGCTCCCAGTGCACTCATTCAAAACAAATCATTCTTTAGGGGGAGCTAGTGTGCACTTTATGAAGGATAGTACTGGTGTGTATACCTTCCACTGAGCTGAAAATCAACAAATGCACACCTCAACACTGACACACGCGAAGAACAAACAAGAAGTGCATATTTTGAGGGGAAGTGTTTCTTTTTCACTCCTTCTGGTACCGTACAATGAAGAAAGCTCATTCCAAGGGGGAGTTTCGATCTTATTCCCTATGTGACAAACAACAACAATACTTGCTAATTGTGAGGAGGAACATCTCTATTTCCTCCTGGCGCCATACAATGATTGATGCAAGAATCAACTCAAGGATGCACCTTTTGAGGGGGAGTTACAAAGTTTTCTTCTCAAGCACCAAACAACGTCAAATGCATCCTTCTGAGTGCTCCTATTGAAGGGGGGCAAAGAGATCAATGAGAGATAAGTCTCAATGGCATAGCAAACCCAACTGAGCCTACACAAGAGACAAAGCCGAGAGTGAGTGAGTGAGGTTTTTTATGAGAGTGAGGAAGTAGAAGGCTCAATTGAGCAAGAAAACAATAATCAAAGACAATTGTGCTACCTCAACTGAGCGATTAACTGAAGAATCAATCCTAGTCACTCAAATACTCCGCACAATTCCCCATAGGTACAAGACTGAATTTATTCAGATCCCGAGTAGAAGTCGCTGCATCTTGTCCAACAACGCATGCACAACCCTACCCTAGACCACTCATCTGTTTGCCAAAAGACAAGTGTTTCATCAAAATTTCACGGGGAACCTCATTATTTATCACTGTCTCCTTCTGAGGCGACTGATACTGACTACAGTGGCCCACAGCCCCATGTCGCTGAACTTCAATTGATCATGTCATGTCTAGTTTTCACACTCCCAAATGTTTTTAATTTTCTAGGACACAGACACATTTTAGAGTCAGTTGCTAGTCTTCAAGACCTGCGAGAACTTCCATAGGACTCATCTATTATGGATGTAGACCGATGATTGGATGGAAGTCTTGATGTTGCAACATAGAAATCACCAATATTTTCAGGCCATTGCTAAAGAGTTCATCTCTATACTAATGATAACGGGCGTCTACGCGACCCCGTGGGCTACAAGTTTTTCTTTGCATATCCTTGTGATCATGCCATAATGACCAAAGTGACATCTACTTCGGATGCCTCACGATGATTGGTCGGAAGTCCCGTCAGAGCTATAATGCTTCTATCATTTTATTCAGGCCACATATAAGTGTTTACATTGATACTGTGATAATGGAACACCTCAATGTTTTCGGACTTTAGTTTTATTTTGCAGAATAAAGGACGAACAAAGACATGACGTCCTGATTCATCAAATCGTCATGAGGGGGAGAGCGGTCCAAGTGCTTATAAACTTTCAAAGATCATTCTCAGACACTTCTCTCCTCCAATACAAACATCTGCCCACATCTGTCCACTCAGCTTCTAATCAAATGGTCAACATATATTCACGACTCAATCATCATTTTCCGCTGTACCACTGCCAAGTGCTCCTCAACATCTTTCACATCAAATATAAAAAAGGCTACATTATGGAGGAGACAGAGGTTGGATACTCAAGAACTGAAGAAGAATCATGTGCGCGCCTGACGCAAGTCAAGAATATTCATTCTAGAGGCGCCATCGGATTTCATTCAAGCTGATCAAGAGCAACTTCTGAAAGGCAAGGACTACATTCAAGATTGTGAAGATCCTTAAATCCCTCGACATCAAAGATCAAATTACCAAGAAGACAACAAAGGGGAGATTGCAAAGAGTTCTTCACGAAGCCTTTCAAAGAAGACAAAAGAAGCTGATATCCTCTAAAGATCAAGACAAAGATAACCCGCACTTCATTGCAAATTGAACACAAAGGGGGAGATTGTTAGAATATATTTTATTGTGTTCAATTTAATTAGATTTATCTTTGTTTAACTAGCATTTATTTAGTGGGCCTATGTAATTAATTAGAGGCCATTTAATTAGATTAATCAGGCCCATCCTACTTTCATTAGGATGATCGGCCATCCCTCTATAAATACAAGGGGAATGGACCGAATAGCCTAAGAGATCCCTATTCTGAAATTGCCTCACGCATTCTGGAACTCCAATGTTAGAAAGAGAAAGTCTCTACACATTCTATTCCGCATATTATTCTCTGTAGAGCACGTAGAATAGAAATTCTCTCTCTAGCTTATTCGTTCGAGTACTGTGTAATTGTTCTTCATGGATTCATCATTCTATATACACGATATACGTTATTGGTGAGATTTCTCTTCTACTGTTATAATTCTATCAATTATTATTAGATTATTCGACTGTTGAAATCTGGGCATAGTTCACACATCATCCGTAGCCTACCAACAGCGGATCCTCCGTTGCTGTCGTCCTCTCCACGGCGTCGGAGACCTTAATTCCCACCACTGCTATGTTGACACAACAACCTTTTTCTTCTTCCCTTTCTGCAAATTTTTCCAGAGGAGTCATCAATTCTCCGGTTCTACGGCCCTCGTCGTCAACTATCTTCTTCACTTTTTCGCCGCTGCCTCTCTTCCCTATGGCAGAGCCTTATTCCTTGTTTCACTCTCTGCCACCGCGGTTTCCTTCGCAGCCGGCCTTCATCCGGTCTCCGGTGTCTGCATCCTCTCCACCGCCGCACGCTTCACCATACTTCAGCTCAACCTTCTCGCGAATGCCAGAAATAATTCAGCCGGCTAAGTGGTCTGGTTTCGGCTCTCCCATGTCGGCCCTCGCTCAGTCTGTGTCGCATATTACTATGGTCTCTCAAATTGTTACAATTAAATTGAAGGCAGTAGAGGATCATCTCACCTAGCGTACTCAGTTCGAATCATTCTTGGTCTCTCAATGTCTGTTTGGCATTGTTGATGGTTTCATTTAGGTACCCCATGTATACTGTTGATTTTACTAATCGTCAAGTTCCAAATTCATAGTATTATCACTAGATTAGAGTAGATCACACAATTCGCTGTTGGTTATTTGCTACTTTGACTCGGGATGTTTTAGTTGATGTTCATGACTTAAAACATTGTGCTGATATCTGGGCTAGACTTTTGACTAGATTCATGTCTGCCAGCTTACCCCGGTGCATGGAACTTAAACAGTTATTGTCAAACATGAAGAAGAAAGAAACTCAATCTATGGAAAGTTATTGTCAACTGCTATTAACTCCCCTGTCTTGACTAAAGAGCTTCTTCAGCCTATTTTGGCTGGCTTGGGACGGGAGTATGGCTCTCTTGTCCTTACTGTCTCTTTATATCCTGTGAATTTTCCTTTTGATATTCTGCATCCTCGTCTACTAGAACAAGAGCAACGAGTGTTTTATGAGTGTCAGCAGGAGCTTGGGGCTGGTCATCAGGTGTTTGCGGCTGCTGCCGCAGCTGGCCAACCACCGACAACACCAGCTATACGTGGCAGGGGGCCGCGGAAGGGGGGCTGCGGCCGCGGCAAAGGACCCATGCAACCGTACGGTGGCCAGCAGCCGGTCGGTCAGATGTTCTACGGTGCTCCACAGCAGGGGGAGGGGCAGCCGGCATACGGCGTTCAGCCGCCACACCAGAGTAATGGCCCAGTCAGCTACAGGGTTAGACTCAGGGGGTACATTCTCCTCGCCCGAACACTACAGGTTCTGCATATAACTCAGTCTTGTCAACTTTAAATATTAATCCCTATTTTCTTTTTGGTACTCACGCTAGCTATGCAGATTTCCCATCGGGTGAGGGTATTCATCGTTCTGTTCCGCCACTTATTGTCTGTCAAATATGTTTCTTTGTAGGTCACTCTGCCCTTCATTGTCCCTCTCGATTTAATCGGCCATCTGCACTAGCCGTTCTGACCGCCAATGGTGAATCTAACGCTGCTTTATGGTATCCTGACTCTGCGACTTTGGCTCACATGACTCCTACAGAAGGTATTTTAGTAAATAAATTCTCTTATACTAGACCACTTTTTGTGAGTGTTGCTAATGGCTCTAATCTTCCTATTGTTAGTATTGGAGATGTTCATTTAAATTCCTCTAGTCGTCCACTCACGCTAAAATCTGTTTTTTATGTGCCTCACATTAAATTTAATTTATTATCCATTCAAAAATTGTGTGCTGATAACAACTGTGTGGTAATTTTTGATAAAAAATCATTTTTTGTAAAGGACAAAATTTCGGGGAAGATCCTTCTTCAAGCACCTAATCATGGTCATCTTTATCCAGTCAGCCTCAGCCCACCGCCACAACTTGCTTTGTCTTCTCTCACTTCGTCTAGTCCCGTTTGGCATCGTAGATTAGGCCAACGTGGCAATTCTGTTTTACATACTTTTTTTGAACGGAAACTTGCATCTATTCATATCATCAGTTTCAGGATCATTACATCAATCAAACGAAAATCAAAACTGACACCAACTAAACTCCAAAAACTACGACTGTAAACCCTATGATTAGACTTAGAGACGGTCATCCCTGAAAGAGCAACACGAATCGCTAACCATGTAGCGGGATTGACACATCTATCGCTGGCCCCATAGATCCATATACTCCCAACGACATAGAAATAGGCTAAATTTCCAAACAAACTGGCAAACCTAACAACATAGATGTTAACAAGAATCCAAATGACAAAAAAATAATAACTAAAAGGAAATCTTTCACGGACCCTAGCACTTCTTTCCACCCATGGAGGTAGTTCAGGAGGAGGTCGTACCATCGGTACCACTCCAATTGATTCTCCATTGTCGATCAAAATCTGGCCTACGCAAAAACCGTCCACCTCTCCTCGTCCCGCACTCATAGCAAAACCGCCACTAACTATTTTCATCTTCGTTGCCAAGCCCTGAGAAGCCTTCATCTGCCTTACCGCTTCGCCGACGAAGACAGTCGATCGTGCCCGAATTGCAAAGCTGACAAGAATCTTCGCCGCACATAACAAACCAGCACCCAGTCCAAAACTCCGTCTCGGTGCTTTGCATCGATCTCTCCTGACACCACGAAGCCAAACAAGAGTGAACCTGCAAAGCAAACTAACAGAAGAAGAACTGCCGAAGCAAATCCCTTCTTGTCGAAGAAAAAAGAATCACAAATCTGCGCACTTCCCAAACCCTAAGCTCTAGGGAGACGACCGTTGTTAGGTTCAAAGATTCTTAAGGACTTCTAGTCCTGTTTTACACACTTTAAATAGTCAGAACCATATTTGTAGTAGCTGTAGTTTTTCTCATGACTGTATGTCTTCCCAATTAGGCAAATATCAACGTTTACCTTTTACGGATGCGACACATACTTCTACTCTGCCTTTTCAATTAATTCATTCTGATGTTTGGCACTCTTCCATTCTGTCTAATTTAGGCTTTAAATATTATGTGTGTTTTATTGATGATTTTTCTCGCTATACTTGGCTCTATCCCATGCGCATAAAGGCTGAAGTCTTTCATCATTTTCAAAATTTTAAAGCTCTAGTTGAAAATCTTTTTACTATAAAACTTAAAGTTTTTTTAAAGTTTTTCGTAAATCATGTCCTGACACACCTTAGCAAAATGGGGTCGCTGAACGTAAACATCGACATCAGTTAGAACTCACTAGGACTATGTTTCTTCAAGCTTCTATTCCTAGTCAATTCTGGGTAGATGCCATTTTTACGGCTGCATATATTATTAAACGTTTACCCTCTCCCTTACTTTGTGGCTCTTCTCCTTATGAAAGACTTTTTCAAAAAGTTCCTGATTATTCCTTACGTGTATTTAGATGTTCCTGTTTTCCAAATATTCCTGCCTCTTCTTCCAACAAACTGTCTGCCCGCTCTGTTCATCATGTATTTATTGGCTATGCATCTGGTTACAAAGGGTATCATTGTGTTGAGCCTAAGTCTCGTAGGGTATACGTCAATCGTCATGTTAGATTTTTTTAAAAATAATTTTCCCTTTCAAATTTTAAGTTCTTCCTCACCTGAGTCGTCTTCATCTCCTTATGATTCTGATTTTTTACTAACTAATACCCTTAGGACGTCACCCCCTCTACCGTCCACCACTTCACCGACATGCCACTACCCAACTCCAACTCACCTTCCTCTCCTACGGCCACGCCGCAAGTCCCATCCTCACCTCCAGGTGACCAGAACTCCCCTCCCACCTCCTGCCGATCCAAATCATCCGCTACAACTACCTCCAGTCCACTGCCGGTGTCTACACACCCCGGCCCGGCCTCGGCAGATGCCTCATCTAGCCCGACCTTGCCTTCGCCCCCCCTTCCTCCGATCCACAATTTCCTCGAATAAATGTCCATCCTATACAAACCCGGGCTAAGTCCGGAATTTTTAAGCCCAAATCTTTTTTTACGTTAAACACAGTTGTTAGCTCAGCAGACCCGACTTATTTTTCTGAGGCACATAAACATTTAATTTGGCGTGAGGCTATGACATATGAATTTAATGCACTTATTTCTAATAGTACTTGGAATTTAGTTCCATTTGACAGTTCTAAAAATGTGTTTGGGTATAAATGGATTTATGAAACTAAATTTCACTCTGATGGATCTATTGAGCGTCATAAAGCACTTTTAGTTGCTCAAGGTATTAATCAGCAGGTTGGGGTAGATGTTTCTAAACACTTTAGTCCAGTGGTTAAACCCACCACGGTTCATATTGTTCTTACCCTTGCTATTTCTTTTGGGTGGGTTATGCGTCAATTGGATGTGAAAATGCATTCCTTCATGGTCATCTTACTAAAGAGGTTTATATGCATTAACTGCGGGGGTTTATTCATCCTCTGTTTCCTCATCATGTGTGTCATCTGCAAAAAAGCCATTTATGGTCTTAAGCAGGCCCCGCGTGGTCTAAAGGAGTTTTTCTCTCTCAGCAAAAATATGTGTCTGATCTTCTTCTTTGGTTTCACTTACACACTCTCACCGGTTGCCACTCCTACGATTCTCTCCCTCACATATGGCGAACTCCTAGCTGATGCTACTGAGTATTGAAGTATGGTAGGTGCATTGCAGTACTTAACTTTGACAAGACCTGATATTACTTATGCACTTCATTTAGTGTCTCAGTTTATGCATGCACCTCGTACTACTCACATGCTTGCTGTCAAGCGCATATTTCGTTATTTACAGGGCACTATTGATCATGGCTTGTGGCTTCAAACTTCCGCACACCCCATATGTATTTTGGCCTAGTCTGATGCTGATTGGATAGGCTGTCCGGATAGCTCTCGATTTACTACATGCTTTGCTATTTTCTTGGGTCCTAACCTTGTGTCCTGAAAATCCAAGAAGCAGATTACATTTTCTAAGTCCTTTACGGAGGCAGAATATCGGGCAATTACTTATACAGTGCAAGACACCTTACACATCCGATTAGTCTTATTTGAGCTCGTTTTGCAGTTCAAGCTCCTGTTCAACTCTTCTGTGATAATATATATGCCTCCTATCTCACAGCAAATCCAGTTAAGCATGCTCGTAGCAAGAATATTCACATTGATTATCATTTTGTTCGTGAGAGAGTCGCTCATGGTGGTCTCATAGTTAAGTATGTTCGTACACATCTCCAGCTCGCGGATATATTTACTAAAAGTTTATCAAGTCAGCAATTTCATTTTTTAAAAGACAACTTGCGCGTTGTATCTCCCGCACAGCTTGAAGGGGTGTAATAGTTTATATTAATTAGGAATCCTTGTGTATTTTGGCAACTTCTTTTCTATTATAAATATACCTGTCAGGACTTCCATTGAAGCATCCTTTCCCATTATTTTACAAATAGATAGTTTGAAAGGCTACATACTGAGAGGTCAATGTATACAACAAACAAAAAAATGCACTGGCAGAGGACGTACAGATTGTAAGATGTAATTTGTGTATAGTAACTACTTAAATGAGTGCGTGATTATGCATGCATGCATGCATGCGCTGTACATGTTGTTATACATACATGCATGCATGCATGCGCTGTACATGTTGTTATACATGCATGCATGCATGCATGCATGCATGCATACATACATACATACATACATACATACATACATACATAGTTGGATCAATCGGTCCGAGATTATTATTATTACAATAATAATTATAAAACCCAAATTATTACTATGTAATTTAATTCACTCCCTTGGCCTAGCTACTTAATCGATCGTACGTAATGGTGGCCGGATGTATTTGGAAATGAAACGTACATACCAATGTACTACACCGTGCGCGTGTCAAGCACAGCTCAACTCAGCTTTGTGTGGTATAGATAACATACATCGTCGCTATGATCGCCACGGCTTCCGCAACGCCGTGGAAACTGAACACATTGCTGCTTCCCATTCGGTAAATGCCCGAACTGACGTCCAATGCTCCGTCGTACACCATTGAGTTGTCCATACCCGTCGCCGGCTCTTCTACCCCACCGTCCTCAATCGCCGATGATTTTTGACTGCATCCAATTTTCGAGTCACTCACATTCAAATCCTGATTGAATTACATACACTAATAATAAAAACACACGCCAACCCCCCACCAAATGTCTCCTCAAATCAGGGGCTGCCCTCCCAGGCTACACGCCGGCCCGATAAATAGAAGAAAACAAATGCCCCAATTTTTTTCTTTAATTATATAATCAAAATAGCAAGAGTAGTAGACCAAAATGCGACCTAGTAATGTTTAGTGACTATAATTATATTCAAATTGTGCATCATACCGATTATGAAACTTTCTTTTAGTAACTTGTAGTTACATTTTAGTCCACATGTTTTTTATTAGTTACTACATATATTTTTGGAAAAACATCATCATATGGCATTTCAGCCAAAAAATAGCAATTTGACCTTTTTTAGCGTTTGGTAAATATTTGGTATTGAACGGAATTGCTGAAATAAAAACACTACAAACAACAACATTTCAGTTATCGTTTTGAAATAGGTCATTTCCTACTAACCACTACGGTCAAACAACTAAATTACCAAATATTTTTTGCAACCCATCAACTTATTTTTGCTACTCAAACCCGCTGGTTGAATCCTCTTCACCCAATCATATCTCTTAAGCCTTTGAGGCCTTTTCCTTTTAACCACAAAATACAAATTTATATGGAGTGTTATCGTCTTTGTGTAGTCCATGCCTCCCAAATCTCATATCAATTGTATCCAAATTGCGAAAAAATTAATGAATACATAATATTTGAGTTCCTAAAAACAGCTATAGAGGAGGTCAAATTAATAGTTTTCTTGCACGAGAGAATGCTACAAAGAGCAGTCCGTGCATAAGTGAGAAGCCCAAACGGCGGCAGAACTCTTTAAAAACCTTTATTTTATCAAGGCATCAAATGTTAAATTCTCAGCAGTAAATCATTCTTAACCTATGAATTTAATAATATTTCTTCTCATTTATACATCTACTTGTACGAGGTAATTGAAAGGAAGTTTGGTGTTGTTATAGGTGGCATTTTTATTGCCTTGTTAAATTAATATTTGTGTGATATTGTGCAATTTTGTATTCCTTTATTATTTGCAATTTTTTAATTACAAAGGTTGATCATGAAGCAATTTTTATGATTTCGCTTCACAATGTTTATTCTACATTCAAGAGACTTGACCGCGTCAATTAATGATGCATATACTAGGCTTAATGCTAGCAATTATAATAGTTCTGTTATAATTATGGATGACAATTTTAATGACGACTTTGAATACCGCCATAACGGTTGAAACCGTTGGTAAAAGACAAAGGAGCATTAATTACACCTCCTATAAATAGGACCGAGCCATACTGTAATCGGTCAGATCCTCATTCGAATAATATACTAAATTACATTCTATTTGCTCACTTGTCATTTTTTCTTATTGTTCTTGTATGAGTCCCGATCTATATACAATTTTCATTTTAATCCATTTTAGCTTATCAAATTATTGCTTAAACCATTTGGCACCCACCGTGGGGTCTTGCAAGAAAGAGATATTGATTATGGCTGGAACCAGCAAATCAATCATGATGGAATTTCACGAGCAACTTGAAGCCTCGAAAGAAGAAATCTGACGCGAGATGGCCCAAAGAATTGCGTGCATCCAAAGGGAGAATG